GTTAAACTATGATCCCCTGGGTCCTCCTGTACTGGCCTGCTGTCTCTCTCTGTCTGTATGTGTGTTTTGTCTTCCGATGGCTTGTTCCAGAAAGCATCTCCCACCCTGTGCCCCTCGACCCTCCTGATGAGCCACACCTGGCAGCTGTTGGCTAATTAACCCTCCAGGTCCAGGGTTTAATTGGCCGTTTTTCACTACTTTTGATTTTGTCTTTGTATTTCACCTTTAAAACTTGCCTTGTTTGATATCATTCTCTTCAGCACAACCTCACATGTCTGAATTTAGAGTTATTGTTTTATATTAAGACACCGTGTTAACAGAATTGATCTAAAATTACACAAAAATCATAAAATCCAAGTTGGAAAAAGTTATATTTTTTACTGTAAAAACCACAAACATGTTTATTGTTTAAATGCAAATATACATTGTAAATTTAAACAGCTAATGCCTCGGGGGTTTTCTTTGTACAACCATTTAAAACTACTACTAAAATTAAAATTACAAAACAATTAGGTGTCACAATAAGATGCCACACAAATTCTTTGTGCCACTCCAAAAATAGTTTCTGTTCACCACAAGACAGCGAACAAATCACAGGGATAACCTGCAGGCCTGACATCACTACTGTTTTTACTGTTTCTTCCTGCACTAGATGTGATGATAGTATTCAGAAAAAAACATGAAGTATTTTTCTTATCATAACTCTGGTTTTATGTAGCCCATCAACACAATGTTAAAACTGGTACAGAGTTTGAAGTCCACACTTTCAACACAAGTATCAGCATCAGAATACGTTATTTTCCCTAATAACGTTTAGTGGTTAAGCAGAGACCACCACCCTGGCAGCTGAAGAGCCCCCCCCCCCGAGTTCCACTGATGCACCAGAGGCCCCCGCACCAGGGCTGGGCCACCGTGCATGCAATCACCACCACCCTGGCAACACACTAACCAGGACCCAAGCCCCCCAGGCCCAGCCAAAACCCCAGCCCGGTGGCGGAGAACCCCCAAAACCCTCCAGTTCATGAGGAGAGTCTTCTTGGCGATGCATAGGGCGGTGAGAGCCATGTGAACTGTATTCATCTCTGTAGTGCCATCATGTAAGTCGCCCAATAAGCAAACTGAAGGGGAGGCTGGAATGCTACATTTCAGACACTTTGACAAGTCTTCACATATCGCACGGCAAAACCTCTGAACAGGTGGACAGAACCAAAGAGCGTGGATGTAATTGTCAGGTGTATGACCAGTTGTTACATGATGTAAAACCCATCATGAACATCTGTTGACCTGTATAGTGCAGTCTGTGTAGTATTTTGCATTGTATTAATTGTAGACTGGGATTTCTAATCAATTTAAAGGTTTTTAAACATATCTGAGACCAGACTGATAGATATATTTTAATCAGCTTATCGAATAATCTGAAACTCTTGAGATTGTTTTTTAATATAATTACCTCAAAAAGAGAGTGGTTTGTGAGTGTTGGAGAAAAAATAACACATCATCTGCATAAAGACTGATTTTATGTTCTACGTTCTTGCATTTTATGCTCTCGATCACTATAGCCTGGTTTTAGTAGGAGACTAATGTTGGGAGAATTCATATTTGGTGGTAGTCTGACATTTTCCTTGATTTCCTGCAGCATTCTGTGGAATACTGGTGCCAGAATGCTCTACTTGAAATCCATCTGGACCTGGAGCCTTACTATTTTGCGTACTTTTCAGGGCTTTCTGGAGTTCACCTGATGTCAGCGGTGAAGCCAGTGACATTGCTTGACTGTCTGATCCTTTCAGAAAGATTACGTTGTCAAGTAATGGATCGATTTCGTTTTTTGATGGGTTCATCTGTTGGTAATATGAAGTTTTGTAAAATTTCCTGAAAGTGTTGTTTATTCTTTCAGGGTCATATAATGTGTTCCCAGATAAGTCTTTAATGGCACCTATAGTCATTTTTCTTTATTTATTTTTAACTGGTTGGCTAGAAATCGACCTGAATTGTTACCATGTTCAAACTTTTGCAAGCAGTCTTTGTAGTAAGAATTGATTTTTTTTATTGAAAATTTCATTTAATTCTAGTTTTGTTTATGTATTTTTTTCAGAATTTTCCTGTTCCTGGGAGGACACTTCTACGATTTGATTATTTCTTCTAATTCCTGAATACGTTTGTTTTCTCTTTTCTTTTTATGTGACGAGAATTAAATTATTTTACCTCTCATCACAGTTTTTCCTGCTTCCCAGAAAACAGATACTGATGGTCCAGGCAGATCATTACAGTCTAAATATAAAGCTCACTGTTTTTTAAATATTTAATAAAATCTTCATCTTTAAGCAATGATGTATTTAATCTCCAGTTTTTACTTGGTGGAATGATTTTCTTACTTATTAGAATCAAAGATACAGGAGCATCTCAGTATCTCAGTGCATCTCAGTGTCTGAAATGTCACTTTACAGTGAGCTGCTGACTAGGAAATAATAGAAACGAGAGTAGGAGTGATGGATATGTGAGAATAAAGTATACTTCTTACGGTTAGGGTGGAAGGAACGCCATGCATCGCAAAGTCTGAAATTGATCATGTACTGTTTAACTATATTTGTGGACAGCCAATTGCGCTGAGTTCCTGCTGAATTCAGCTGTCCATTTCTTCATTTAGTCCAAAGTTGAGGTCGCCCCCAAGAACAAGTAAGCAATCTAGGGAGAGTGCAGTAAAAAAAACGTGGAAGAATGAGCAGCCGTATACACTTACAATACAGAACTTTTTGTTAAGTATGGATAATTTAATAATTAGAATTCTTCCCTCTGGATCTATAACTGTGAATACTGTGAAATTAATATTTTATGTGTTAAAATCACTACATTCCTCTGCCTGGAGCTATAGCAGGCTGAGAACACATTAGGAAACAAAGGTGTTTTAAGTTCATGCGGCAGGTCTCTGAGTCGCTTGTAATAAAACAACATATGCCTGTAGTTTGTTTTAAGCTGGTTCAATATCTTTACCCTCTTTTCTCTGGAGCCAGCTCAATGCACAGTCCATGTGACAAACCTCATGGCAATCAAGCGCACCAGTATAACAAAAGGTCCACTTGGGAAAATAAATGTGTTGGGTGAAATTTCCATTTTAAAAAGATAATAGTAATGAATTGAGCAATTTTACATTTTTAAAATGACTTGACAGTTACATAAAAAGCTATAAGCTCATTATATAGCTCATGGTACACTTTTACATCAGTATATATTTGCATAACCAACTGATAAGAAGACATGTAAAGAAGAACTAAACACCAAACACTGTGTGATGCCAATGATTGTTACAGTCCCTGCCATTAACATGACATAATACTTAAAACGTTATTAAAAACGTTATTAGCTTAATAAACATAATTTAATTTGATGAACTATTATTTGATGGGGAAACTTTTTTTTTTAATCTAACAGATTTAACGATCAGCCATCCCAGTGTTACATTTGCGGACAGGCTTAAAATACTGCACCGTCATTCATGGTGATATACTGAAACAAGTCCGAGTGAAACAGTGTCAAGTGAAATAACAAAACACACATATTTCCGGTCTGTTATTTCAACGTACACACATGCTGCTTATTCACTGCATAACATCACAACGAAACCCAGTGAATACGCAAACACCATCCATGAGTAAACTGCAGATCTTCCATTCATGTAGCTTCTTCCGCATGGTTGTGGTTGGGATGGAGCCGACTTTTCGATAGTGTTTTATTATTTTATTTTGAAGGAAAATGTGCTCTATTCCTGTCTTTCCTGCGCTATAGTACCTTATGTGAACTCTGCGATACTGCAGAACTGATAACTTGTCTGGAAGCATTTTTGTCACATCGACGTAATGTTATTTATTTTGGGGGGTTTGTAATAAAAAAAACAAACAAAACTGATTTATCTCAATTTAAACACCCTTTACTATGGCTATTTCCCCACACCGGGTAAAATTCCCGCATGCCTCAGCCAGCCCCCCGAGCCCGACCATGTTTACTTCGGCCCCGTTAACTTCTACTCACCGTCAGTTCTGGGTCTATTTCGATTCTGAACGTCTGCTGTTGGAGTGTCTTCAGTGTTATAGTTAGCATCTTTCCGGTGGTTCTCGGACAACAGTGGACTCGGAAGAATTTCTCAACAGCAGCAGCTCTTTTTTTGTCAGTATTTTTCCGGCTCTGTGTATATGTGTGACTCAGCTGTCTTAGTGCCGCTGAGCATGCTGGCCACCCACGCCATCTACTGCTGGAGTCACAGTATGACATGCTGTTGACTTCACATCCTGTCGGAAATACCCAACTCTAAGCACAAAAATATTTACAATGATTATAATTCAATTAAATTCAGTTTAAATCACAACACAGCTACTTCAAGGAGATTAGAATTTTTAATTAGAGCCTCCAAATTTAACTCACATATAGTCCCTTTAGTACAGATTGCCAGGGATTAGAGCTATCAATGCAACTATTTGGTTTTTGTCTATTCAAAGCTCGCCTGTCAAACTCAGTCAGCTGATCACGCTGAATGAAACATTTAAAATGTTCAAATGTAATCAGCGACATCAACTGAAGCAAGCTGCAGCCCAGTGCGTCACAATAAATGAGCTATACAAATATGCAAAACAAAAAATAATAAATTTTTTTTTTTTTTAAAAAGGATGCATGGTGAATGGCAAATTAGACTTTGTTTGGTCAATGATTTATAAAAGTACTGGGAGTGGGTGACTTAATTTGTTTTCCAGCTTCTGAAATGAGCATGCCACATAAATAACACACAAATACTTTAATACTTGCACTTCTCATGTCTCTTGCTGTATACACAGATTAAAATCACTCAGTGTGAAAGAAACTGCCAAAGTTAGGCAGGCAACAGAGATCAACGACTGAAAGTAATGAAAAACAGCAAAGTTGAGAAGCTTCAATTTATTAACTCAAAACTGTGTTCACAAAGTAAAGATACTCAATCAAAACATTGGGAATGCACACACGCACACACGCACACGCACACGCACACACATATCACACAGAGGACTTATGAACAAACTCAAAAACGTTGTGAACTGTCATGTCCACAAACAAATATAATATTTGAATAATTTACGAAAGGATCACCTCAGAAAACAAACAGTGCATCATGGTATGATAGAGATCAAAGTGCACAACCAGACATCACAGACGCTCAAGTTATGGGATTTCCAAAGGGGAAAAAAAGAAAAGAAAAAAATCACATTAAATCAGAAAATCCACGTATATACCAAACACAAGCATAAACAAACCCTTCTCCTATTTGATGGTTTGGAGAGAAAAATGCATGGGAATCAAGAAAAAAATCCCATCCCTCAAACATCCCACCGGAATAAAAGGCTGCTATATGAAAAGCTACAGTCCAGATGGCATCAGCCCATTTTCTGTGTCTGTCATTTGAACCTGAGGAACACACACACACACACACACACACACACCTCACACCGTTACAACTCGTCCTTTGGTTTGCCATTATTGTCCTCTTCTATCCCAGCATCATCATCTGAGTTCTCATCATCCTCTTTGTCATCCTCATCATCACCTTCAGCGTCCTCCTTGTTCTTCTCCTTCTCCTCTTCCTCCCTCAGTTTCCTTTCCATATCTTCCTGCTCATCCTTCATTTTCTTCTCTGGTCCCTAGGCAGGTGAAGAACAGTGTTAATGTTTAACATAATGGAAAGTGAATCCACAATAGGGGAGTACTGAACTGTCACCTGCAGTGTGAACCAATGCTGAACCTAAAAGCTACATTCTTTGTCTTCCTTAAAATCCTTTTGTTTTATCACCTGCCAAACTTTTAGTTCGGGTCCTTTTTATGTTAAGTACACCAAGTTTGACTGAGAACCACGAGTTCTCAATAAAAAAACAAGCACAAAAAATGTAAACAAACAAGGTGCACAAAACAAACATCAAAATAACAAGCTAGACCAAAACTCTTTGTTCCATAATAAATTATGGAACTAAAACTATTTCTTCCCCAAATGAGAACCAGTAATCATTTGGACCTAGAAAACAATCATCATGATCATGAATAATGTGCCAACCATTAAAAGTTAGATGGTATAATACTGACAAACTTATTAGGTGAAGAAACTCAACCTGTACTGCCAATATGGAATTTCAAAAGTTGCTCAAAGAATCAATTTGCAATAAGCTGCTCAAGAGTTGAAGTGGCCTTATAGTTAATGTTGCTTAAGCTACAAGAAGTACCATCTTCCCTGTTTAAATACCTAGAGAACTGCTCACATGTGATAGTTTTATTGCTTGTTTACATGCCCTAAACCACTTATCCGGATCAGCTGTGAGCTGTGGAAACATTACAGACTACATGAAAGCTGTTGAGAAGTTATCTTCTTTCTTTGGAAAATGTCTGATCAACTCTGTAAAGCTACATATGCATGGTCTATTTATTGTGTTGCCCTTAATTCTGACTAGAACTGATTTCAGGCTGTATTCTGACAGAGGGTTTTAAATTGAAACCCCCCATTAGACCATTTACATCTAAACAGTCCTACCTTGGTTTTTCCCCAGGTTTCCTTTCCAAATTCCTCTGCCTCTTTCACATCGTCGGTAATCAGAAAGTTGTCAAAAATGGTTCCAGATTTGACCTTTCAATGAAAAAACAAACAAAACAAACAATGCAATATTATATTGTCGTGACATACAGATACATTATAAATTTATTTGTCTTGAAATAAATAAACCGCAATGTAGTTTCATTTTTACATGAAAGAAACTGTTTTGTAACATTTTATTTATAACAGACCCTAATGGGGGAGTAGTGTAGCATAATTACCTGCCACAGATCCAGGCCCAGGACTCCAATGTTGTTAAATTTATACATAGTAGCATCCTGAGTGTACTCTGGGTTGTCTATCTCAGGGTGGACCCATGTTCCCTTGTAGTCAGGGTTGTCAATTTGTTTGGGTTTCCATTCCCCCTACAAAGGTATTAGAGAATAAGTTACATTTTCTTCCCTTTATACTAGTAAAAAGACCTCCAATAGAAATTCTTCACTTTTTCGGTAAACCTCAAGCAATGCAGCCCATACTTTATACTCTGGATTGGCGATCATGGGGGGCTCCCACTCTCCATCCATGTCCTCGTCCCAGTCATCAGGCTTCTTGGCATCAGGGTCAGGGATCGTCTCTGGCTTGTCCCAGTCCTGGAAGACAGCAGCACTGAAGTTACCAATCAGAGATGCCAATCAAAACAGGACTTGTCCAAGAGTACAAATAGCCCCATCCTGGCTGTTCCAAGAAAAACAAGGAATGGCAACATTAATGTAAGACTGGATCAACATTATCAACTCACAATTGGCACTATTCAGTGTATTCTGGCTGCAGTGGATGGCCTAATGAAATTATGCATTACAACAAAATTGAACAATAAGAAAATGCTCAACGTCATTAACACCATGTTCAAGATTTTATTGTAAATTTGGGACTTTAATCTCAGAACATCTGTATAGCTTTATTGCAAGTAATCTAAAATCATTTTAAGTCATGTTACTTCAGGCTTTGTGTCACTGGGATCGTCAATCTTAGCCCTGTCATCCCAGTCGCTTGGCTTCTTAGCTTCAGGGTCCTTGATCTTCTTTAAGGGCAGCATGTCCCAGTCGTCCTCAAAGGAGCCAGACTCTACCTTCTCATTGTCGATCTTCACCTCATATGTCTGGTCTGGATTCACAATCAGTGTGTACAAGTGGGTCAGCTCATCATCCTGAAGGATGACATGGAGAGAATTTATGGGAAATCTCTAACAGATTCATGGTTTACAAAATTTAAAAAGGGAAATTATTTAACAGTCTTGGTGCATAGCTACCTTGCATTTGATGTCTTTCTTGATAAGATGGTTCTGACCCTTGTAGTTAATTATCACATGAACCTTTTTTGTGCTGTATCCACAAATGTCAGGCCCTGTGTACACAGGCCACATTATGATATGATTATATACCATGATTACAAAAGAAGGACGTCATTTCGAACAGCTCAAAGTCAGATGGAAAAACATCATGTTCTGGTTTCAGGCTTCAGTGTCTCTCCAAGACTCACCAAACATGATGTAATACTGGGAGTCTCCATGCATGTCACTCTGGTCAAGCTCATCGGGGAAGAGCTTGACGTAACCACCTCCACAGTCTATCTTCTGCTCATGCTTGACAGTGAACTGGATGACCAGGGGCTTTCCCTCATTGCTAAATGGCTCAAAGTGGGCTGACAGGGCATAAAAGTGGGCATCCTGGCTGGTCCGGATACCTAGAATGAGCACAAAAGTGATTATTATTATTATTATTATTACTACCAATATAGACTGAATATAAATGCACAACTCTTTCTAATTTCAGTAAAGGCATGTAAAGAAGTATATTCTTAAAATATCCATATGAACACTGAGCAGCCTGAAATGCCTTAAGAAAAATAAAAGTAATATGTCTGTTTCTATAATCGTATGCACTAATGCTGGTATTCTGAAACTACATCTTGAATAGTAGGAACTGCACTAGAATGAAAACCATTGAATAATTAGGGATTTTTCACATGTTCAAGACCCATCCAGTCAAACAAACAGACCCCTGGCAAGCTGATTCTCACCCACGGGCCACATTTTTGACACCCTAAATTTCTTAATTCTATTCTTCTTTTGCACTAACAGAATTTTGTGGTTCAATGTTTCACTTCAACAATGTCAGAGATTCTAAAATCTGAAATAAAACTGTCTTTATTTTGTATCGGAAGAGGATTAGGCCACTAAAATAAAAAGTGGGCACATTTTTTTTTCTTCTTTTCCAGAATTCTGATTAAAAAGTCAGAATTCTGAGAAAATTCTGACTTTAATCTCAGAATTCAGACTTTTTTCACAGAATTCTGAGAAAATTCTGACTTTAATCTCAGAATTCTAAGAAAAATAATTCTGATGAAAAAGTCAGAATTTCTCAGAATTCTAAGTTTAATCTCAGAATTCAGACTTTTTTTCTCAGAAAAAAAGAAGAGGAAAAAAAAGACTTGCCCAATTTTTTTCCCAGTGGCCCTAATCCTCTTCTGTACAATCATGGTTTCCAATAGTACCCAAAAAGTTGATGATGGGGCTGCGCTATATAAATGTCCCATACTTTTAGTCAGATTTGCAGCCTGCTCAGGACTTCTGGTTTCAAAGAGCCAAGACAGTGACAGGGAAAATTCTCTGGACAAAAAAGGGTACTTTTGCATTGGGTCAGAGCACTGTGTTTACATCCATGCACTCTATGACTATCAGTCATATTTATAATTCTTCCATCTGTAATTAAAGCCCAATATTAACTATTTTATCAGTGTAATAGAAATTTGGAATGGGGAAAACTAATCTAAGGTTACCAAATGGGAAGATTACTGATAGTACAAATCTTTTTTTTTGTTTTTGAGTATCCAAATTTAAAATAGGTTTGGAATTGGAGTATCAAAGGCCATGAGAGCACTGGAGGCTCTTTGCAGGATATTCCAGTCCTGAGTATAATCTGTCTGACCCTGTGCTCACATTTACATTGGCAAACCTGTGTTAGCTGCATTTGCATGATAAGACACCAACTCTTGGTCTATGCAAATAACACAATTTTAACAAATTAAGCCGTATCAGTTGTGTTTCTAACACAACATAGTATTCGTACCTTTATCAGCTTCAGCATCCCCATAAAAGTTTCCAGCACTCAGTTTCCACTGTCCATAATCTGATTTATGTTTCGACTCGACCCAACGGCTCTTCCATCCATCTGAAACACATTAATGCAACCACACTGGTTACTCACTGTAATTCCTCTGATTCTGGTTACATTAACACCAAGCCACCATGCACATTTATTACACTGCTTGTTCCACAAACCTACTGAGGACTCCAAATGCAATTACTCAACATGATGATAAAAGTGAAAAACTTTGAGATTATATAAATGAACTCCTATATGCAGTGACAGGGTTTAAAGTTTTTCTGTTTAAAAAAAATTAAGGGGCTCCAAATATTTTATCCAAATGCTTTTACCCATAAAGGTTCCAGCACGGTTCTGCATGGTTTGACTAGCATAGGAAAATAGAAAATAGCTGCGCCCTTAACCCAGTACTAGACGACATTTAGACACATTTAACTTAAAAAATAACATTGGAGCGTATGCTTTACTAATGTATTACGCTATTATTTTCAGCCAGCCACTCATCTATACCAATGGGTTCAATTTATAGAGTAAGTTACCTTAAAAATTCCAGGAACATATATTAAGTTGTCTTTAATTAAATTACCAAATAAGAGATTTAATGTGAACTGCCGTGAAGACGTTGACTTTTTTTTTTAATGCAATCATTCGTGTAAGACAAGCAGATATGAAATGGACTGTGTTCTACCTCCATCCAGAAACTGTTCCTTGAAGTAAACCGTAGCGTCGATAGTTAGCGCTAACGATGCCAAAACTACAGTAATTACCACCGGAAACTTCATGATGCTAGCTGCAGTCTGGTAGCAGGTGGTGAAACGATGAGATTGAAAGTCCGATGAAGGAAACGTAAGCTGAGAAATCTAACAGCGTTGAATCCCACACAGATGGCCCTGGTTCATTGGACGAGCGTTTCACCAATGGAAACAGACCACGGTTTATTTTTCGGGAATGCTCGTGTTCGATCGGAAGGAGATCGGAGGAGGCGCCTGCTTTCCTGCAGTTTTTAGCCAGGGACGATGAAAATGAAAATGTGGGTGTCCGATGGAAGAAGGAAGGCTTAAAACGTCGGTTACGTTATGAAAATATATTTGACTTATGAATGATTAACAGTTGTTTTGGAAGAAGCTACGAGCGAGTTCAAAGCAGGCTTTAAAGGCCTCCGTCTGTGTGCCCTGTGCAGTGATCAGCAGGCACGAGACCGGTTACACCCATCACTAAGCACGGGGTGATGCCGGTGTCGTTCAGGTTAATTAAATTTGTTTACATATTCCACTCTCCCGCTGGCTTTTCTGTAATATAAATAACAAGCCGACATTTTCCTTACTACACCACCGATCAGCTTTAGTTTACCTGCAGTGCTGCAGGGTAGTCTAGCCTCCCATTAAACCCATAACTACAATACTGTGTGATCTTGAGCCACCCATCATCTCTTTTGTCCCACATTTGCTAGGAAAATCGGGAATAGTTGCCATAGTCATAGTTTTCAGTCACGTGATCGATTTGCTACCCTGGGCGGTATCATGGTGCCCAACAGTGGACAGTCACTGTTACTTAAGAAAAAAGTGTTGTTTTTTCCACCTGTCTCGAGCCGAAACCACTTGGATCATGTATCATAAAGGAAAAACGAAGATATGACGAGAAACTACTTGTGATCCATATTTTGCCCTAGCAGCTTTATTTAAATCCCAGAAAGTGGAGATATCTACGTCTGAGAACCGCTCACCTTACACTGCTGCCAGGATGGAAGATTTCAAAATACAGACCAATGACTGTAGAAAACTTTTCTTTCTTGTAATTTCTTGAAATAGTCTTCAGGAATAGTTCTCTTGAAGCTTCTTGAAGGACATTCCAAAGATCTTCTTTGGATGTTGGCTGTCTTTTGTCCTGTTCTCTGTCAAGATAACCCAAAACTGCTTAAGTAATTATAAGGTCTGGGCTGTGGTAAAGCAAATCAATGTTGCATTTACCCAGGTGTAACCCTAACTCTAAACCTAACCCATTGTCAGTGTATTTGGGATCACTGTCATGGTGAAAAACTCGACCAATGTGATGCTTTCTAGATGCTGGACCAAATGCTAAAGGGACCTTTCTGTGATCATAATTTCATACATTTTGAAAGGAATAAAAGAAATCATAAAAGAATGAATAATAAATAATATAATAATAAACAAATAATGGGAAGACTGAAAACAGACAAGCTAAATAATAATACACTGGTTACCTTTATAGTTTTAGGCTGACTCTACAAAAACCAGAAAGACCCATTATCAGTGTATCACATAATAGACGCAGAATAATACCAGGTCAGTGTTATCAGAAGGGATGAGTAAGGAAAAGTGTGAATGTTTTTGCCACAGGGAGCACATGCATTTTTGTAGTTGAGTGTGGAGCTAATAAAGTTCAATTCAATTCATTTATAATTTGAAATTTTCATTTTAAATGTCCTTTATACTTTAAAGCATTTTGCAGCAGCCTTTAGCTGATTCAACATTGTACCATTTTAATTGAACTGAAGGCTTTTCCAAAAGTTTTTAGGACAGCCCAATAATAACAAATTACAATAGTCCAGCCTATAAGTAGTAAATGCATGAACTGGCTTTTCAGCATCTGAGACAAGATGTTTCTGATTTTAGAGCTCTTGTGCAAATACAAGAAATCAGTCCTTCATATTTACCTAATATGCACATTAAAGGACATATCATGGTGAGAAATGAATACAAGAATTCTCACAGTGTTACTGAAGGCCAAGGTAATGCCATCCAGAATACGTATGATCAGACACCATGTTTCTAAGATTTATTACAGGTGATCCAGCTCTTTATGTCTTTAAGACATTTCTGCAGTTTAACTAATCGGCTTCATGGATAGATTAAGCTGGGTGTCAACTACATAGCAATGAAAATGTATTGTGTGCCTTCGAATGATACTACCTAAGGGAAGCATGTATAATGTAAACAGAATTAGTTCAAGCATGGAATCGTGTGGAACTGATAATTATCCTTTGTGCATGAAGACAACTTCCCATGTACATGGATATATTGGAGTCTATTAGCTATGACCGAAGCTACTGCACCTTTAATTCCTACGACATGCTCTAATCCCTGTAACAAAATATTGTGTTCACCTGTATGCAGTATCGCACTGAGGTCCAGCAGGCCTCCCTAGACATGAGCCATTATTAACCTTCACTATCGCTGTTTCTGTACTGTGATGAGTTCTGAAACAGGACTGAAATGCTTCAAATAAATTATTTATCTGCAAATGGTTTTTTAGCTGTTTTACAACTATTCTTTCAAGAATTTTAGAGATAAAAGGAAGATTGGAGATTTGCCTTTAAATTAGCTAAGTGTGGCGGGTTGTGGTTTGTGGCTTAGCTGTAGGGGATGGGTGGAGCAGGGTGTGGTGTCAGGGAAGGCTGACCCACACAGCTGACCCTCATAATCTAATCATGCCTTCCCTTTTGTGAGTAGACGCACGTTGGCATGGACCTGGTGAAGGGTGCTGTAAGCAGGATGCAGGGGTGGGGCCAGCCGAGAAAGCCAGACGCTGTGGCCTGTGGAAATTGAAAACTCCTGAGGACAATTTTTGTCAAATGTTTTTGTAAAAGTAAATAAACTGTCATTATCACAGCTCTCTGCCACTTCATGCTAAAGTGTTGTCTAAAACCCGGTCTGTGTGATTACAGACTGGTGGACGGCATTACCGGTGGAGGTGCTAGCCCAGATGATGGTGGATCATCCCTGTGATCCGCTGCAGTAGTGGCCGGCAGATCCATCTAATCCTACTCTCTCTTCTGTTTCTCCACAGGTCCCAGAGGTTAGAGATGGTATACCAAAAAAAAAAAAAAATGCCTGCGGATGAAGATGGGACAGGTGCTCCATGTTCCCGGCCCTACAACACTCTCCCTTAGCTTGAGAGGGATGTACCTGCATACCAGTAAGGTTCCAAGGGCCTGGGTCCACCGTAGCCTGGTGGACCCAGGCCACACAGAGACCCTGGTCCATCAAACCCTGGTTTGGCTCGGGCGTAGTTGGAGGCAGAGTGGGTGGAGGTTAGTTGTGTGCATGGGGGTTGTGCATGAAAGGAAAAATCATTCTAACTATAAATTGTTAGGCAGCAAAGGAATGCCATCCTTGAAATGAAACCGCCCCGAAAACTCTGTTGGAACCGGTTTCTCCACACAGCAGTGATATGATGTACATTTTGGCGTCCATAGATGCAAAAACTTTCCAGCTTTAAAACATGCCTCGCTGGAACTCCTTCATAAAGACTTTCTGGCGCTGCATGAGTCTGAGGAGTTCAGCCAGCAGCAGGTGGAAACACCCGTTGCTGAAAACGTGGCCCTCAGAGAGTTGGTGAAATCCTTCACTGAATGAATGACCTGGCTCTCAGAAGAAAACTGTTGTGCTTCAGGCCCGCAGCATGAGGGACAACGTTCTGTTTTCAGGCTTCTCAGAGACATTTCATCCACATTCACCTGAAACTGATAATGTGGTTTAAACAATCAGCTTTCATCATGCCCATTTTTGGGAGGGTAAAAGAAGTGATGGATGCAGACCCAAAACAATTTTGAATATTTTAAAGAAGAAGAGGCGGTGAAGAGCTGAGGCAAAAAGGGCTGCAGACACCCCAGATCTATTGGGTCTGGGGCCGTCTGCCTCTAGCTCCTTGGGGGCCTTGTTCCAGTCTGTCATCCTCAAGTACGTTTCATGACGAACGCTCATACAAAGACACACACATTCTCACTCTTTCCCACATATGCACACACACAAATCACAGCAAAATTGTATGTTTGTTTGTGTACCCAACTTTGTTTTGTTCAGTTGTTGTGTGTTTCTCTTTGTGTGTTCTGTTGCAGATGCAACAGTTACATCCTAGACTTTTGCCACTCTCGTCTTTCTGACCCTTTTATATTCCTCTGCCACTTTCTCCTGTCTTTCTACAACCTGGCTCTCACCCCCTTTCCTCTACAACATATTATCCTCTCTAATAATAACATGAAATAAAATAAACCAAATGAGCAAATGTTGATGTGTTAACAGGAGCATAGAAACTCTTTACAATGGAAAAATCTAGGAAGCAGGTCTAGGCAGCAAATGCTCTGAATGTCCACTTAGGGTTAAAACGGCATGCACAGATAGATGCCCGCTGTCTTTGTGAAGACACCAAATACATTTCTTATCCTGCTAGCACAACTGCAACAATAAAAACTGGTCACAAAACCATAAAAAACAATCTCAATTGTCAGCCAGCCTTAAACCCAATTTTAAACCTAGTCTAAGGCATCCACCAGAGGTTCTCTTGTAAGTACAGGATTTAGTTCAGCACTTTAACGGTCCAAATAGTACCTAATAATAACCTACTGTCAGTATATGTCTAGACAGGCATATTTGACATTGATTTCAGATCAGTGAGTGATTATGATGAACTGCTTTGATGGGTGTGTTTTTCAAATTGTTGATCATTTGCATCTGTAAATATTCCTCAGGTCGGTGAAACACCACAAAGACAAAGGAGATGATCGTGGACTTTAGGAGGCACACAGTAGACCTGCCTCCCCTCCACATAAAGCTGTGGAAAGCATTGTGGTACTAAAAAGAAGCCCACAGCAGATGCTATCAGAAATTTTATATATATTTTTCCTCTTGTGCTTTTGTTGATAGGTGTGTCATTAGGGACGGTTTCCAGATGTCCCTCGGTAAAACTTGAGATCTTGCCGTTCAAATTTTCTGGTTGTGATTTTACATGAGCTTCGTATTGTGGGATAACAGTGTAGTAAACTGCTGTCATGTTACAACAGCTGACATAAGATCACCCAGGCTGCAGTATAGTGCTTGTTGACGGTGGACTTCCCAACTGCATAAAACGTTTCTCCAGCCACTGGGACCCTACATCGTTGGCGAGAAGCTTTTATGCTGAAAGTAATGGTCGGATGTGTTGTACCTTAATTTTGGCGGCTTGATAGAAGTCTGGAACGGATGACCGACTCGGTGACGGTAACCGCAATTTAGGCAACATGGGAGATGTTGTGGGATTTATCTTGAACGGATTTTAAAAACCGTCGGGAAAATGGCCGAGAGGTAAGTCCAGCAACACTCGCACTGTTTTGCTTGTTGAGGGGAAAAACGAGCACGAACCAAGGGAGGCAGCCAGCCCAGAGATGAGACTAGCAGCCGCGGTTCGCTTGGTGGCTGTGCTTACTAGCTAGTTCGCCACGTATTCGCTCCCACGATTCAAGGATTTCCACGCAGAACATATGTGCGAATTTAGTGTCTTTCCCTGTCATCTCCCTCGGTTGTTAGTTATTCGCCGGGGTGGTTGTATCTGGATATTTGTCAGCGTGGAAGGAGCGATGCGTGGAGGCTAGATGCTGTTGCACCTGTCGGTCTAAATTCCCATCTCTTTGCTGGAATGCTGCTAACCTGCTTTCATAAGTAGATGCTGACAGGAAATGCACCTTATCACTTCGAGAGGAGGCTCGAATAGAGAAATCCTCCTTTGCAGCATCTCGTCCTTGTGATGGATCGAGGCGACTCCCATGGCGCGGCACTAGAATTAGAGGTGCATGGCCCAATCACAGTCAGATCTACATATGTCTCCTTATTCACTATAATTATGAAGAACAACAAACAAACAAAATAGTTTCTCAGCTCAGTTAATGAGTGGTTAACTCTCGAGCGTAGAGAAACCGCAACACCAAATTCCGCCAAATCCCAACACATCAATGTTTTTTATAACACAGGCGTGAACAGCTTTTTCTCATTTAGTAGTTCTGCGTGGGAGGTTCGGTGTTCCTATAATGAATTAACCACATTGAGGAAAATCGCACCCCTCTGTTCGCCATGATCAGTGCAGGGAGGTGGGAAATTAACGACAGAAATCCAGCTGGATCAGGACTTGTTTGGTGTATGTGCAAATCCTCCTGTTTCCTCCATGCGCCTATTTAATAGTATTTTCTTTAATGAGGCCGAACAGGTTCTTATGCTGTTCATGTAAATCTGTCTTTCCTGATATAAACAAAACAGGCTGAATTTGAATAGAGTGTAGAGTCGACGTGAATCCAGCCTCCCAGGCCGGTGTTCTTCAGCTGCCAACATCAAAAATATGGATGTGTTTTTATCACGCTGATTGCCTTGAAAGTCAGGGTGTGGAACACATCGTGGCAGTTTGTCCCCAGAACTTAACAAGCTCATGTGGGTATGTTAATAAATGAAGGCTGGGAATATCCAGGGGTCATTTAGCCTCATGCAAATCATTACTGCAGGTCAGTCCATTCAGATTATTGATTTGTTCAAAAAAGGTCATTTTAAACAAATCTGGATTCACGGGTACAGTAATAATTGAAAGGTTTGAGATAAGTAGTTCTGGACTCAAATGCAGTTGTTCTTGTTGTTTGGATCAAAAGCATCAGAATCTTAGCCCGCTTTACACCACCTTCTTCTCGCCACCCTGATTGTGTGAGGTTTTTATGTTTCATATATTACTTTAGAGAACCAAGTCAAAAGAAAACTCACATATCTGCTTTATTTGCTGTATTAGCCAGTGACAATTGGATGGTGTAGTTAAAGGTTGAGGATAAGAAGTAAAAGTAATGCAAACTAAGAATTGCTGCCGCAGTCTTGTAGTTAAACTGGTACCTGTGGCTCAGGTGGTAGCGCGGGTTGTCCACCAGTTGGAAGGTGGATAAATTGATCTCATGCTCCTTGAGTTCTTAAGTAGGGATTTGAGAGCCAGTGTTCCCAGCAGCTCACTTCCTTGGAATTGTTAGTCTGCTTACCTATTGATCCTGCTTATTGGTTCCACTTGCACTACAATCAGCTGATTTCAGTTTGTGTGCAGTAGAGCAGTGTACAGCAGGGATATGGACTGAACTTTTATTTCTACTGCATAGAATGAGAGCCCAGTTGTAAAGTGCAAACTGGATCCAAGACAGAAACGGCTGCGTTACGGTGCTAACACAACTTTTGCCTCTTTGCAAGTGCCTGCACAGACAGCATGCTAACACTAAGCTAGCAAGAACCCAGAGGTATGTTAAAGCTGAGTGACTGCTGACCGACCACAGCAGCCAGACCCTGAACTTTAACTGGTAACAAAAGCAGCGATGAACAGTCAGGCTGCAGCCTCCGTTTCTACCATTTCATGTTTCTAAAGCAGAATCACTGTGGACGTCGCTTTGAAGACTCTTTGGGCTGGTTTCTATCTTTGCTTCGTCTTGTCGGCTTTGTGTTTATACCTAAACGCTAAGAGAAAGATCATATGTGTGTGCTCATTAAGATGGGGATTTGTTTTGCTGTGTGGAACTGTAACCTAAAGGTTTAAATTGTTCACTAGTAATTGGGTTATGGAGAAACTCAATGTAACGTAACGAGTTGAATAATGAATTACTTTCTACTGGGAGTAATTAAGTAATGTACTGCTTTACTTTGAATAAACGTGTTTTGTGCAATCCATTACTTTTTTGACTCCAACACTGATGACCATTGATGTCTTTAAGAGCGCAATGAGAATCAATAAGGAATTGAATCAATAAGTGATATTGATCATGGAATCGTAACTGCTAACTTGTTACAAATTCCCATCCCTTGTCTTCCTTGTGTAAGATGGTGTGTAATCATGCATATGCTTAGGCATGAATGTGTTTCGTTGGGTGAATGAAACGTGTAGTAGTGTTGTATGAGTAGTGGTGAATATGTTGTCTCTTGTTCACTACAGACTCACAATCCTTCTGTCACCACAACCAAAGTGTGGTTAATAATGCCTAAACATAACCATGAAAAGTTAATGCTGCTGAAGACACCAAAAGCAGATAAAAAAAGTCTGATTTAGCATATTTTACAGAAAAAAGCAAGCAGATATGTTACTGGTGAGGGATTGTGTGTCCACTGTCAACATTTTAGCAAATTACAAGATACTGAAGCTGTACAGTGGTGCGGTGGTTAGCACTCATGGACAAGATAATGTAACTGAATCAGCTGGACTAATTGCCTCTCTGAGTAATTATTTAAAGTGTAATAACTCAATTAATTATAACTACAGTAGCCTCACACTTTGTAAACCGTTGTGTGTGACTATTTTCTATGGCCTGGATTTTAACAGATCTTACCACCACCTTGGAAATGGATACTGTTTATCACCAGCAGTGTGTGATGACTTTTACAGGAAGACAAGCAGCGAGAAGTCTTTTTATCGTCAATATGCCAAAAGTGCAACAAAATTATATGCAGTCTCATTCAGTGCAAAGAAAGCAATCTAACTATTCACAAAAATACAAAATTAAAAACCTTTCTAGTAAATAAACACAGTAGAAACAGTATAGAAATATAAATAAATAGATATATACATGCGTGTGTGTGCTTCAGTCATTGTGTATTGGTTACACAGGTTGGGTATTGCACAGGTTAGTAAAGATGTAACAATGTTCATTTATTGTTTATTATTTATTATTGCAACAGCCTTGTCATATGTGTGTTGTGAATATTTGATTGAATTATTCTTTAGATGTTGTTAAGTTCACTTGGTCATGCAGGAAATATTGAAGCGTGCTATACTTGTCTGCTGCTGTGGGTTCTTGGTCATCGCAGGTGTTGGTTTTCTGGGTTAGGTCATCACTCAGGCACAAGCCCAGAACCTTCAAGTCAGAACCTCTCCACACAGTACCCATTAATGTATATGACGATTAGATGTGCTTCTCCTGAAGTTCACTATTATTTCTTTTGTTTTTGTGGTGTTGAGGAAAAGGTCGTTGCTGCTGCACCATGATGCCAGTTTCTCTACCTTGTCCCTGTATGCACACTCATCTTCCCCCATGATGAGTCCAACCGCTGTCATGTCATCTGTGAAATTCACTATTGAGTTGCTTGGGTGAGTGGGGTGCAGTCGGGTGTGTAGAGAGTGTACAGCAGGAGAGTCGGCACACATCCCTATGGCAAGCCAATGTTGAGGCTGAATGTTGGGTAAAGTTTGGGCCCTTCTTTAACTCACTGTGGGCGGACTCTCAGGAAGTCCTTAATCCAGAGTCAGATGGAGTATGGGAGGAGGAGGTTGATTAGTTTTGTTCCCAGTCTGCTAGGGGTGTTTGTGTTAAATGCTGAGCTGAAGTCAGTGAAAAGAAGCCTAGCATAACTGCCCTTGTGCTCTAAATGAATCAAGGTTGTGCAGCTAGCAGTGGCTACGGCATCCTCTATTATCCCTCTGTGTAAACTTGTGGGGGTTCAATTTACATGGTCCTCGAATTACGTGACTTTTGACCAGGTTCTCAAAACACTTGATAACGAATGGAGTGAGAACCACTGGGTGGAAGTTAACTAGGCTGCTGGTGGTGTTCCTTTTGGGACAGCCATGAATGGTCAAGGCCTTCAGGCAGGATGGGACAGTGGTCTGTGCTAAGGACAGGTTGTGAGCTGGTCTGTACAGACCTTCAGCACCTGATGCAATCAGGTCCTGCTGCATTTCTGGGGGTCCTGTTAACTGTCCTTAACATGTATCTCATGTCATGATTCTCCAACACAAAGATGTGGCTGGTGTTGGCCTGTGTGTGTGGTGTGACTGTGTCTGGTGTTTTTTGTTCAAAGCGGCCAAAGAAGACGTCTCCGCTAGAACAACATCACCATCCACAGCCCTGGGTCTGGGGTTGTAGTTAGTGATGTTTTGGACCCCCAGCCACAGTTGCCTCAAGTTGTTGTTCTGGAGATAGTCCTTAGTTGTTATAATCCAGCTTGGCCTGTCTGATGCCCCTTTTCAGGTTTGCCGTGGCTGCATTGTGCAGTTCCAAGTCATCCGACCTGAAAGCAGTGTTTCTGTTACTAAGCAGGGTCCTGACCTCACGTGTCATCCAGGGCTTGTGGCTGGCATACACCTGGATGCATTTGTCAGCGGTGACAGTGGTTAGGAGAGTATGCATGCAGTGTACTCCTCCAGGTCCTGAGATTCAAAAATACTCCAGTCTGTATTCTCAACACAGTCTTGTAGCTGCAAAGAAGCACCCAGCCCATGTTTTAACTGTTTTTGAAGTAGGGGGCGTTTCATCAGGTATTGCTGGGTGCAGCAGTCCCCAATGAACTATTGTCTTCCAGCTGTAGCC